CGACCTGTATATGAATTTAATCCACCCTTTTGATATTCACGAGAGATATATTTTATGTTTCATTAGTTTTTTATTAAATGCTTGGATAAAGTCCATAATTACTAATTTGCTTTATGAAGTTTTAGAGGTTCATTATTCAAGAAAATATATTTTTAACAGAATGACAGACTTCAAATAAGATAACGATATAAAAATATATTTCGTGTATGGAGTAAACTTCTCTTACCTAAAGCTTCATTAAGTTCTTCACATCGATTCAACAAATCTTAAAAATTTGACTTTTTTACCGCTTTTAAAATCTGATATAATTTAGCAATATTTTTTATTATGATTCTTTATAAATGATATGAATGACCCTTAATTATGTGCTTTAATTACTCTTGACTTATTTCTGTCCTTGATATTTGTTTGGTACGAATTGAAATCAAATCGGAATATTTCCAAATGCCAATTTAGAGAAAACTTAGAACTTTCTTAACATGCATGTTGATGACACTTTTAGAAGATTTACTTTTAGAACCTTCTCCATCAGTAGTAAGAAGAGATGTCAGAAATAGGAAGAAGATTTAACGCATGAGTAAGACAGTATATATAAGTATTAAACGTACACTCCCTTGATATTTTCATTGGTGCATTTTGTACTCATGAAAACAGACTTTCATTTGATCAAAATAAGATATAAACTTGGCTTTTTTTAATGGAGGAATTAATTCATATGTAAAATTCAATTACTTAATATTCCTAACAAATTTGCAACAATTCGTGATTAAATTTTAAATCAAAAATCTGATAACCGGAATAAAACTCTAAAATCTGATAACCGGAATAAAACTCTAAAATGTGATAACCGGAATAAAACTCTAAAATGTACTCGTCTACAAAAACTGAACGTGAGAATATTAATATTGTAAAACATATTGTTATCCAATTATAGGCATCTTTTAACAGTTTTTTCGCTATAATGGACATTCTGAAAACTGTTTGAAAATATATATACATTTTTTTTGTTATTTAGGCGCCCCAAAAAGACCTAACGGTCTTGTCACAGAGCACCGCGGATGTGCATTTAACCAGGAAGTTTACGCCTCCTTCCTAATTGTGTCGTTTCGAACCTGGAATCTCCTGCTTCTAATGCAAGCCCTCTAACCACTGCGCCACGGCCGCGCATATAATATTATTTTATAAATATTTTTATAAAACAATTTCTCATTAGAAAATAGTTTTTGATGTTATTTAGATTTTTTATCAAGTCTTTTTTAGTAGTCTACCATCTTAATTATATAATCGTTTACACATTCTAAAATACATTGACGAAGTGATACAGAGTGTATTAAATAACTTCATTTTTCTAATAAATAGGGTATACAATTTCAAGTAATAAATAAAGTATTATTTATCTATCCACAAAAAATGATACCAAGGAAGGGTATTAACCCTTTAACAGTCCCGTGTTTTTTTTATTACGTTCGCCATTAAGCCAGCTTTTTTTTAAGCGACTTCTAAATACGCGGTGTTTTTAAAAACATCGCGATTTTTTTTACAAATAGATTAAATTAGTGTTTTTTGCATTTTTAAAGCATATTTGGGGCAAGTATAAAAAAAATACGATTACAAGAAAAATTCCAGAAATATTTACATTTACCTTGTGCTGAAGCAAAATACCCCGAAAAATGCCGCAAATTGTTCCTAAATTATTTGGGTTTGAGCGCAAAGTAAATCTCAATATTTTGTAAGAATAAATTTTCTTATGTGATCAAAATAGTTTTTTAAAGTTAAGTTTTTTTAAAATTTGTTGTGTATCCTAGTCTTCTCATAATTGTTTATATTAAAAAATTATTTCTCAAAAAAATATTTTAGCGCAAATGCGTAAAAAAAGAATTTCTTTTTGCTTAAATTATGCGAAATTTTTTTTTATTTTAAACATCACAGAAGTGAATTATTAAAACAAAAGCTCTGTAATTATGTAGTAATAAATTTTGTGACGATTATAAGTGTAATTTACCAGTGGTAATTTACTAGTGGTAATTTACCACTAATCTCAAAATATAACTGGATAGCGGATTCTGTTGTTTTTTGCGAAAAAAAGTTGAAGCCAAATTGACCAATATGGCAGCGATTTAAGTGTATATATATTTTATATGGCTTTATCAAATGAACGATAGAAAATAAATAAGGCTAATAAATTTGTCAAAAATAAAGGAAAACAAATGAATTTTATAAACATTAGAGAAAAAAAAAAAGAAATTATTTTTTGAACAATTCAATTTATTATTAAATGGCATTTACAATTTCAGATAAATTTTGTGTATAATTTATGTACCTTTTAGTTCTTAGTTACCCAATGCTGTATGCTAGAAGGTTAATAACATAACATCATGGTAAGCAACAATCATCTCTACCTACAATTCTATATTCTCTATTTTTTATAGCAAGTTACCATTTTGTACAAATGCTGCATGAACTATTAACTTAGTCAGTATACAGGGGTATACAAACTCAGGAGTTCCTTCTAAAATTATACTATAATTCTATTTTTGCATAAATTATTTGAATAACGCATTTTAAAGTGTCACTTATGCTGGTTAAAAAAAACAGGTTTGAATTATTGTTATTTATATCAACTTTAAAAAATAAATAAATAAATAATCATTTCTTATAACTTAAAGGATAATCACTCAATAGAATTGAGGATGTATGTAACAAATTTTACATACTTCCTCAAACAAACATTTGTTGGAAAAAACAAATTTATTTAATTTTTAATATAGAAATATTCAAAACACCTCTTTGAAATATCTCATTAACTAAAGTTATATATACTTTTTACATGCTGTTAAGTATTATGGTTATATGTTATAGTTTATATAAAGGCTGACTTTTTTATATTATTAAACTGTATGTTGCCGTTAAATAATTATATAAATATATCGTTGAGTTTATTTGCATAAAAGATTGATTCCATTACATATTAAATTCACAAAACCTACTTGCAGCAATGCTCTTTGTTTTCCATTTCTTGACATGATATATAATTATATTATTAGTCTTAAAGAGAATAACAGTTACGCAAATGAATTTATCTAGTCTAAAATCTGGTTTCATTGGATAATTCATTGGCAATTAAAATATATATCTCGATTGAGTAGAAAAAGAAGGCTCGCCATAAAATTATTTAACATATAAGCTCAGTCAAAACCATCTAACAAGTTCTTTATTGTGCCGTGAGATCTTATTTAGCTGTGAGATCTGCAAGAATGTTTAACAACAATTGCCAACAGTTTACAGCCACATTAAACAACTCTTGATGAGAATTAGGGTTCAATTTTCAAATAGAAACTGCAGCATCACATATAAAACTCATATTTTAAAAAATTTAGACAATTCTTTTTCTCACTCCAGTACTAAAATATCTGACTAAAAATAAATTAAAAAAAAAAAAGGTTTGTAAAGAGAAAACCAACTAATAGTGACCACGAATATGCAAATATATATATATATATATATATATATATATATATATATATATATATATATATATATATATATATATATATATATATGTGCGTGTATATATATATATATATATATATATATATATATATATATATATATATATATATATATATATATATATATATATATATGAACCGCTAACTTGAAAAAGGGGACATGTTGTGTGAATTTTTACAGGACATGTCCCCTTTTTCAAAACAGCGATTCATATGTTTAGTGATTTTAGTAAAGTACAACCAAATAAAAAATAAAGTACATATAATTATATATAAAAAAAATTCTAGAAAGAATCCTTAAGTTGCGTGTACTCACAGAGCTCAGCTAATAGTTCATGCAGCATTTGTAAATATGTGAATAAATATCTATTTGAAAAACTAATTTATAATAGTTTATTTTAAAAAGATATTTAGCTGCCTACCATGCAGTTATGTTATTAACCTTCTAGCGCACATCATTGGGTAGTTAAGAACTAAAAGGTACATAAATTTGTACAAAAAACAATAACAATTAATTTATTGAAAACTAAAATTAAAAGAAAGTAAATAAAGTAATAAAATATAAATGATTAAAATTATTTCAGTTTTTCACATTTGAAATAATTATTTGAAAGTTGTTTGGAAATTGTTAAATTGGATAACTACTAGGTTCATATTTGTTTTTTATTTTTATTGATAGGTTATAACTAGTTATGAAATATTAGTCGAACCTAGTAGTAAACTACTAGGCTATAGTATATTTATATATATCCTTTACTAATGTTAAATAAACTAATTTTGAATTAATTAAACTAAAAAATTTTATCTTATTTAACTAAATTAAAAAAAAAGATATACAAACTTATTGTTTGAGTAAATTATTAAGGGTATAATATTTATTGCAATATATATTGTTTGAGTATATTTATTAGTAATATATACTGTGATATATGTATTAGTAATATATATTGTGATACTTTAAGAGTATAATATTTATTAGTAATATTGTTTGAGTAGATTATTAAGAGTATTATTAAACAAAATATTATATATATTTTAGAAATTTACGTAAATATTTATCACTGTGTTTCTTTCTAAAACAATTGCTATGTAAAACCGAAAATTGCATTTTTGTTGAAAAAAAATAAAAGTTCGTAACAAATATTTCTAAATTAACTAAATTAATTAATTAAATTCAAAATTTGTAATCAACCAAATACGCCGCCATCTTGGGAGGCCAAAACTGGCTTCAAAAAATTTGTGGTAATTACTGATGAAAAAGTTGGAAATACGAGATGCACAAAGCGGTAATATTACGGCATGGAAATTTGGGAAACACTTTCATTTAGCGTAATATTACGGAATTTTGAAACCAATTCTTCAAAACTCGTCAAAACGATCAGTCTCATTTTCATCAGTCTTATGCAATCAATATGTTAGAGTCGGGAATTTTTTTTACCTACAACGTCCGCAGAACAATCAAATTAGTTTAATTTCCATAAAAATTAAAAATTAACAATTTAAGACTTTTTTTGTAGCTTTGTTTACATAGGTTAATGTGAAGAAAAAATTTTTACAAATTTTTTTAACAAAAATAATTTTAAAATGTTTGCTTACAAAAAAAGTTACAAAAGTTTATACTAAATTAAAGATATTAATCCTATTAAAGATATTAATCCTATTAACTGGAAATGCACAACAGTCGTTATACTTTAGGTAACCCAGCAACAACTTCATCTTCGATACCGCATTCGTCGGATCCTCTCAAAATCTTGAAAAAGCCTAAAAATTAAATTTTAGGCACATGTATTAAATACGTCATTCTTATGTAATTGTTTTAACTACTACTTTATATAAGAACTCTGAGTTTAAAAATGATACCTTCAATATGCTTAATTACTATAGCTATTGAGGTTAAATATTTTAGATGGAAAATCAAGGAAAAAATATTAGGATTTAAATACAAAACTTTCCTTCCGCAAAAAATTAAATAGATTTAAAAAATGAAGCAATAATTAAATAATTTGAACCATAAAATAAATTATTTGATTAAGACGAGTCCTTAAGTGTAAAGCCTTTTATTACAAGTAGTCATAAGTAATAAGAAATAATAAAATTGAATTAAAGTTAGAGTGTAAAAAAATAACGCTTTAATTAAAGATTACATAAAAAAAAGAGTTTCAATAGAAGATTACATAGAAAAAAGAGCTTAAATAGAAGATTACATAGAAAAAGAGTTTTAATAAAAGACTACATAAAATAAAAAAAGTTTTAATAGAAGACTAAAAAAAAAAAAGAAAAAAAAAAAGAAAATTAAAGATGTTTATTATTTAGTAAAAGCTTTAAGGTGTGCAGCTCTATTCTACGTGTAATGTAAAAAAATAAAATCAAAAATCGAAAGTGATCAACTGAAATAAAAAAATACTTACCATTATCTCCCCAGCTTGGATTCCATGAATTAGCAACAAGCCTAGAGTGGTATGAGAAATTAAGTACATAATACGAGTTGATTCATTATTGGGTTACATATATATAGCTTATAGGTATAAGTGTTATTTATAAATGTTACCTATAAGTATTTTACCATAAAAAGATTTAAATCAAATTAAAATACAATAAGGTTTTATTTATAAATTGTTTTATTGAAATTTTTAATAAAATTGATTTAATTTTTATTAACTAATTTTTGATCATAATGGCAAAAAGTTAAACCAGTTGAAAAACTGTAAAAGTTTATATATCAAATAGATATATGTAATAATAATAATAAATAGATATAAATAATCATTATATAATACATAATAATAATAATAATAAAAATAGAAATAAATAATCAAATAGATATATGTTTGCTCATTTAAACAGAGAAACGAAAAATTAAAAAATTAAAAATGAAATTATTTTATAGTTTAGAAATATAAGATTTAACGTTGTGATTTTGTTTTTATTATCATATATTATCTTTGTTATTACGGTTGCATGATTTTAGTTAATTTTTATATTATTTATTGTTTATCTTTTTACAGATATGTTCTTAAAAATATGTTTTTATAACTAATTTAATTTTGCCTCTAGTTGTTTAATTTAGTTTTTTTTCTTTTCTTTTTTTTCTAAATAATTGCAATATATGAAAGTTACTTACTTTATTCTTTTTTTTCACTTAAAGTAATAGTAAGTATTCACAAACCTTGAGATTCTTTTATGTTTATTTGTTACTATAGTAACAACAGTAGTAATACTACTGGTAATATGTTTAATGATAATAGTGAAGTTAAAATGGATGGTATTAGGCTCGAAGAAGTTTTTAGCAGAAATACAAATAGGCAACTTAAAAACATTTGTTGTCAAAATGAAAGAAGTAGAGCTAGGCAAGATGAAATGAATCGCCATCAAGATTTATTTACAGGGAGTTATATAGATCATAGTTTATATGAATTATGAATTTATTTAAAAAAAATAGATATGAACTTTTTGTCTTTCATTTTCTTCATATACAGCCAATGTGGTTTAACCTAGAAATTATAGACCATCGTGTTTTTTAATACATGGTTATTGTCTAAGTAATCTTAGGCCAGATCAATATAATTCCCCAACATATTTTCAAATGTATATCTATGACCCACTTGCAGCAGGAAATTTTAGAATGCAACAACATGGCAATCAACTTTGCTTACATGATTTAATGTTTCATTTGCAAACCAAATTTATTGAAGTTGCAGTTATATTTGTTGCAGAAGATGATGCTCCACTTGCTTCTGGGGAAGTTATTTACCCAAAAAGTCATTAAAAATTTAGTTCTTTTAGTTCTAATATTATTCACTACATTATTATAATTTAAAACACTACATTTTCTTTTTTACAAATTTTATAAAATTTTTACATAACTGATTATAAATATCCTAAAATTAAATATTTTTTCTTTTACTTTATAAATTCAAACATAATTGTATTCTTTTTTTTTTTTTAGTTGTCAATTTTTTATTAATTAGCAGATTGTTAAAATATGGTTTTAATTAAGTAAACTTATATGATGTAAAATTTACTGTGTTTATCATTCGTCAACAAATGAAGCAACTGCAATTCTAACTTATTGAGGTAAAAATCAATTTGTTTACTGGTAAAATTACAAAGCCAATTTTAATGGTTAACTGGGGTATAGCTATTTTGTGCTACTATATTGTTTTTGTCAATGTCATTAAGAATAATAACTTTTGTTATGCTTGTAATAATTTGTTGCATGTCTTAATACTGTCAAAATACTGTTTGTCTAACACTTTAATGAAGGTGTTATTAATAAAGTGGAAAATTATTGGAACTATTATTACAATGATTTTACGTATACTTAAAAAAAAATTTATTTAACAGTGAAATTATTAAATTGTTGAAAATTATTACAACATTTTAAGTTGTTATCAACAACATTTATGATCATTATAAAAAGTTCCATACCAGTATGGAGTATTATTTTCTACACCCCAGCCTAAAATTTTGATTGCATGACCTCCAAGTTCTTCACCACTTACATGTTGGTAAACTCCTAAACAATTATATTATTAATGAAATAATAAAGATACACTTAATTTTTTTTTTTTAATATAAAATCAAAATAAAAGCAATACAATTAGTAAATAGTTATTATAACCAAAAGGTTATAATAACTATTTAATGTTAATGTTCACATTTAATAGCTGAAAACAATTTTTGTTCTTGTACTTTATTAAAAACAAAATTTTTTACCAGACTTATAGTTAGGAAAATCTGCAAAAACAGTAAAAGCTGCTTCAACAGGTCCATTGGTCATGATTTCCCTCATAATTTCATTTTGATCATTATTTATAGAATAACTAGTTACACCATAATGCTTGTCATTTTTATAAGTGATGTTATAACCTTGATAAAACAATAAATATATATATATATATTATATATATATATTATATATTATATATATAATAATATATATGTATATAATAATATATATATAATAATACATAAATATATAATATTATATACATATAACTATATATATATATATATATATATATATATATATATATATATATATATATATATATATATATATATATATATATATATATATATATATATATATATATATATATATATATATACATATATATATATATATATATATATATATATATATATATATATATATATATATATATATATATATATATATATATATATATATATATATATATATATATATATATATATATATATATATATGATAAATAGCGATTTGCATGATAAATAGCGATTTGCATGATGGGTACCAAAGCTTTAAAAGTTTGTTAAAATTAATGTTTTTTAAAAACGTTATTTTGCCATGCACTTTAGCAAAATACTTTTATTAAAAAGTAGAAAATATGTTTAGTTTCTCTCTCTCTTTCTCTCTCTCTCTCTCTCTTTCTATATATATATATATATATATATATATATATATATATATATATATATATATATATATATATATATATATATATATATATATATATATATATATATATATATATATATATATATATATATATATATATATATATATATATATATATATGTATATATATATATATATATATATAAATATATATATATATATATATATATATATATATATATATATATGTATATATATATGTATATATATATATATATATATATATATATATATATATATATATACATATATATATATATATATATATTCAGAAGCTTAGTTATTTAATGTACCTTTATAAGTTGTCTATTGTATAAATTTATATTATATTTTTTTATCTTCATATTTTATATATTGCATCCTTATAAATTAATTATATTTTTTATTCAGGATCATTTTTATTTCCAGAGTAGGTTTTTAAAAAATGCGGTATTGAATTTAAAAACGTATAGCGCTTATTTAAGAAAAAAAAGATTTTTTGCTTGCGATTTTAACTTCTTTTTTAATGTATTTATTTTTTTAACTCACAATTCATTACAACTGCACTTTTTACATTGTCCAACTAAAATATGTATTTTAAATTATTTCACAGTTTCTGTATTACATTAGGTGCATATTAATCCATTCTCAGGTATAAAAACAAATTAACACTGTTATGATTGATTTAAGAATACTTTAATGTTTTCATTTTTAAAAAACTAAAATGAAATATCAATAATCTTTGTATTGATTAATGAATTATGAATTGATATTAATATTGATTAATGAATGTTGAATTATGCAACTATTTAATTATTTAAAAATTTAAACAGGAGACTTACTTAAACGCATTATTTTCATCTTTACATATGGAATTTCACTTTTATTTTTTGTAAAGAAAAACATTGAAGTTCACTTTGTTTGTACTATAAATACTTTAATTATTTTCTTCACTTTGTTTATACTATGGATAGGTTAATCACGTTTTTTGTTGAAACAGAAAAGTTGTTATCTGAAAGTCCTTATTGATTTATGCCTTGTTTCTGATTCTAGCTTGTGTTCATTTTCTCCATGTTCTCCTTTAGATGGTTTCAGCTATGCATTCATCTCTATAAATCTTTTATCTTGTACTTCTTTTTTGGACTCACCTTATTATTGCACTAGTTACTACTACCCTAAAAATGACTTGAAGTCTTTTCCTGATTTTCTTCATGACAATCCTTGGGCTAATGTCTTTTCTCTACTTGCTGATAAATGTGACTCCTGTGTAACCTCTTGGATCCAGGCAGGAATGGAAGCTTAAATTCCTTCTCATTGGTTCCAAGTCAAGTCTCATTCTACTCCATGGTTTTCATCTTCTTGTGCAGAAAAAGATGAAAACCATGGAGTATACTCCATATAGTATATGATTACTTATACTAGATAAGTATATGACTACATAATATGTAATCATATACTTATGCAGCATATTATATACTGCATAAGTATAGGATTACATATACTACATATTTGTATATGTAATTATATACTTACATATATAAATGCTTCATTATACACACAATGATGACATTATACTAAAACAGGAAGCTGCAGGGGCTTCAGTACATACATCAACTATCTTATAGCCTGTTGCAAAGGAGTGCTGCTACATCAACTAAGGGTTTGGCATAGTTTTGTATTCTTATTCTTATTATAATTATTAAAATTTTATTTTCTCATTTTTCTAAAAAATTAAAGCACATGTTTTAAGAATAAGAATGCAAAAATGATATAAAGAAATTTTAGTTTCTGAAAAATTTTTTTAGAAGAGAGGTTTAAACATCAGATGAGTTCCTATAATTATCAAAAAAAAGTTTTTTAAAAGTATATCATATTGGGTCTCAAAAGAAGCAAAATTATTTAAAAACTTATAAAATAATCATCATTTTATTAAAAACAACGAGGAAAAAAATTACAGCAAAGGTTTTTTGTAAAAATGTACATTTTTCATTTTTAGTTAAAAAATGATATATTTTAAGCATTGAAATCTAAAATAATATTTAAAGTTTAGTTATTAAATTTACCTTTCTCACAAACTTTTTCACACTTAGGTGTAGGTAATGATCCATTGCAAGGATTTTTTGAATGAGGAACATGATGATCACAAGCACGAATGGCATACGGTTGGCATCCTTTATGAGAATTGTATGGACCACCAGTAACAATGCCTTTAGTTTTAAAAAATTCCCATGCAGATTGTGGGTAGCCCCCATTACAACCAAAACCACATGAATCACAACATGTCAGTAAATCTTCAGTTGATATACGAACTTGATTTTTACCTTTGGTAGCAATACAGATACGATCTGTCATTGCTTCTGCAGCACCAAATGCCTGGATTTAAAATAACTTTAGTTAATAATAAACCATTCTGATAAAATTTATAACTTAATAGCTTTTATTTTATAACCAATTATTCTGATAAGTATAGCTATTATTGTACAACCTGGCAGTGTTTCTGGAAAGTGTAGCTTTTATTGAACTATGTCATTGCTCAATAAAATAGTTGTCATTACATTTTTTTTTTTTTTGACCCCACGAATTCAATAAAATAGATATCTTTTTAAATCTGCATTCATATTTAAATAATATTTGGTAATACTCATTGAAACTATTTCAACTGATAACTTTGTTTTTTCTTTATTTTAAATATTTTAAATGCAGGATTTAAAAGTTTTAAATTCTCTTAATTTACCAAAACTGATACATTTATTTGATGCCTAAAAAGTTTTACTTTAGCCTCTAACAATTCTGATAAAACATTTCATATGTTCAGTGTCTAAAAAAGTTTAATTAGCAAACTTATGCAAAAAAAGGGATCCTTTACACCTTTCAAATATCAGGAGATTAAAATTCAAAGTCCATTAATAAAATTTGATCTTATTTAGATCAAAATTTAATAATAGAAAACCCTTTCCACATTTGGAGTCTAACATTTTGGTTTAATTCTTCCTAGCCAAACCATTTAACAAAAAGGTGGGACATCATTATATAGTAAAAAACTTATTTATTTTTTTAAAATTATGATCAAAATAATAAAATAAAAATATCTTTTTGTAACTTGTTGCTATCCAACTGTTTAACAAGAATGTTAAATGTATATTACCCAACAACTTCCACACTCTCCTTGATCTCGAACTTCTAAAAGACTGGGACAAATACTTCCCCATTCTTTACGAGCATCAAACTCAATAGGAAGGTCGTGCACTTCTTTAGAAAGATCTTTAACTAAAAAAATATTTGTAACTCTATAAATTATTTTAAATATTTAAAAATTATAATATTTAATTAAAAAATATTTATAACTCTTAACAAATTTCTTCTTCCTTCAAGTTTAAGATTTCTCTACTTTACTGGTCTGTTCCAGCAATTCTTAACAAAAATATCAATTTTAAAATTTAAACTTTTTAATAAAATAAAATGTAAAAACTAACTTGGTAGCTTTTTACTAAGGGGGGTTTTTAAAGCGCCACACAAATTCCTAATGTAGTCTGAAGTTATATGAGGGCCAAAATTTTCTCCTGCTTCCCATGTAGTTTTCATATTGTTTATAGTATGAATGTGAGACTGGAACATACTGTTTTTGGGCATGGTGAATACCATAGCTATCAATACTCCAAAAATAATGAGCTTCATTTTATTTTGCTAAAAATAAACTATTTAAATAATTAAAAAAGCTATAAAAATAAATAAAAAAAACATTCATATTTTATATATACATATACATATATATATATATATATATATATATATATATATATATATATATATATATATATATATATATATATATATATATATATATATATATATATATATATATATATATATATATATATATATATAATATTTCATTAAAGCAATATTTTAATGTACAATATTCATTAGAAACTTTTATCAATTAAAAAAAAATCAATTGTACAACGTCTTATAGACTATATGTAAAGTAGCAATTGAGAACCTTTGAGAATAATAAAGCATTAAAAAAAATAAGAAAGGTTTTTTAAAAGGTAAAATAGATTAGATAGTTTTTTAAAATTTTCAAGAGTCAACTGTTAATCCATAATTTAATTTATAAAAATGTAATTAGCTCTGTAATGAATTATAACAATGAATTATAACGATGGTGTTTAACAAATTATAAAAGTAAAAACAATTAAGAAATAAATTATAAAAAGTGTCATATATTTACAACTTTATAAAAATTTGCTAAAAAAAAGAAAAATCTTTTCTATAGTTCTAAAATCATTTTCACATCACCTGGAAACATGCTATGTAGCTGTTATGTTGTGTGGAGTATTCAATAAATTTATGTGTAAATATAATAAATTTGTATTGTTACAACAGTTAACAATTTAATATATTTGATAACAAGTACAGAGTATAAATTTATATAATAAAAAGTGCCTAATGTAAAAATACAGGATATAAAGTACTCAACATAAAAATGATAAAAAGTGCTTTAATCAACAGTATGTTTTTTTTTTATTTTAAAAAAAAATTTATAGAAAAATTTTTAAATTATAAAACAAAAACAAAAATTAAAAAAGAAAAAGAAATTGAACTAAAACTTTTATATCCATCTTTTAAAACTAGTTTTCAATATAAAATATTTAAAACATAAAAATGTTACAAGTATTTGCATAATTTGTTATATATTTATATACAATAAAATTATCTAATATAGAGTAATAAATTTTTATCAAACGATGTTATAACAAGACCATTCCAGCAACAACACTAGCTTCAATGCCACATTCATTGCTGCCTCTTAGAATTTTAAAGAAACCTAAATAAAGTTGGAAAATAATTTGTATATAGAAGATATCTATAATGTGTTTGAGTATTTGCCAATTTTAATTAGTAATTGATAAGAAATTGGTTGTAGTAATTTATATTTATTAATTTCTGACGCAACTCAAAAACTTGACAGGGTTTTAAAAAAATGTTTTAAAACATTTTAAAGTGATCCCAAACTCCCAACACATATTGTGTTCATATTAAAGATAATGTTGAAAAAAAAGTTTGAACCAAGTTTTTTTGATTAAAAATAAATGATGAATACATACTGAGAAAAACTAATCTTGTTGTTTTAGCCAGAGCTTGCCTTCTCTATTTTACACAAAAACTTGCAGTCTTTAATTTATACGTTGCAATCTACAGACTTTAGCAATTCCTTTGAAGCGGGTTTAATTCCAAAACTCTGGAATTTTTTTTTTTAATAATTGATTTTTTCATTATTTGTTTAGTTATTAATTTTCTAATTTTAACATTTAAAAAGGTTTTAAAAAACTTAAATATTTTATGCTGGTTCGTTGATATAAATTGTTATTGCGCTATATATTAATAAATGATTAATATTCATTAACTCAGTCAAAATTCTGATAAAAAATTGTTATATATTAATTACCCATATAAAATTAGTAACAGCATTTTTATTTGGTTAGACAATATTATTTCTTCTGAATTTACTTTTTACTTATCAAGTTTGGGAAGTCAAATGAAAAAACTTAGTTTGAATAATCATGTCAAAATATATTTAAAATGATTTTAATGACGGGGATACTAAAGTCTTTTTATAACAAATGTAGGGAGTTCGACTCCCACCACATCTCTGGAAGTACTGCGCTCAACTTAATTTCTCTTGCTTGTCAAGGTTCGTGTTTCGAAGTAAAAGAGTTGAGGGCTGAGCGTTGTACCACGATTTACAAAAACAAAAAAATAAATAAATAAATAAAAAAAAGAGTAGCCTCCTCGACTGTAGTGGCCCCCTCAGGCCTTGGGTAGGTGAATAAAAAAAAAAAAAAGGTAAAAAACAAATAACTAAATAAAAAGTTCAACATTAAAAACATCATTTCTTTATTATATTGCAACTGTAAATATTGAAATAATAACTTGAACTAAATTTACTTATTATTTAGAACGACTAAACAATAAATAAAAGCCCCTAAAATTGTGATATTGTGTTGCTTATTTGATTATTGTTGTTGTTTATGTTGTTTATGTTAATTGTTTTCACCAATATTAAAATAATCCCAGATTGAACTATTAGTTGCTTTACTCGTTGTTGATTTAATTTCAAACTTAATTTTATTTCTGAGTTTAATTGTTGTTAATGTTAAGAAAGAAATATTTTTATTTCATTGCACGCTTTTTATATAAAAGAGTAGAACAAAAGAGAAAAAAAGTTTTGCGGAATTATACTTTGAATGAATAAGAGTTGCATAGAATATATATTTTTTTGTGTCACTCGTTCTTTTTTTAGAAATAAAAGTTTAATTGTAACTTTTCTTTGAATAAATGGGAATTAGAAGAGAAAATTGCTTAAAAACTTGTATTTATCAATTTTGTTAGTTTTTTAATTTTCCATGTTAAGAGACAAATGACAAATACAACACATATAAATTGGGAAATGCCAAATATAATATGTTTTTTAACGCGCGTTACAACATTTGACAATTTAAATTACCATCTATCTTAAATTATTTTCATTAATTGTGTTAATTATTGCATTAAATAATAATAATGTGTCTTTATTTTTGTTAAATGTTAATTGTATAAAATGGGCAACATATTTCATGGGCAACATATTTCAACAAATATACATATTTCATGTTTTTAATTTGGTTATAAAATATTGAACACAAATTTATAATGCCAACTTGTGCTTTTATTGGTTGTACTTGTAATGCAAAACCAAGATCTCACATATCCTTTCACCAATTTTCATATCTGATATTACTGTCAACTGTATTGTTTAGTGTATACAACTGTATTGTTTAGTGTATTCTTGTACTTTTTTTCATAACCTTAACAATTTTTTGGGAAAACAAAAAATTCATAGCGAAAAATGAGCAGAGAAGTTAGAAAATAGTTTTTTTATATGAAAATAAGTAAGATTCAGAATATACAATACTGCGCTTTCTTGCACAAAAATGAGAGACATATTTAACGTTCTATATAAAGTAAAATAATTGTATGAAAATTATAAGATTCGTAAGTAAAGCTTTAATATTTGTTTTAATTTAAAAACAAAAGAAAAACATAAGTAAGATATATAAATCTAAAAATTATTAAGATATCTGTAGAAAACAAGTTGCTCCTATAAAATTGAAATAATTTATCATTTTTACTTTTTACAAATTTTTTTTTTTATGTTTGGAAAAATAATACAAATAAATTTGTTTTTCTGTATGTTAACACTGCAACATACTTTTTGAATTAATGTAGAAAAACGCAGCTTTGTTTAATTACATTTTTCATTTGCCAAAAATCTACATTGACGTCAAATACTAAAACTTTTATGAATTAAACGCGCTTCAAAGGAATATCCGAAGTCTGTAGATTGTGAGGCATAATTTAAAGACTCCGACTTTTTGAGTAAAATGGAGAAGGTTAGCTTCGAATAAAACAACAAGATTAGTTTTTCTTGGTATGCATTAATTATTCATTTTTAATAAAAAAAACTTGGTTCAAACCTTTTTTTTTCAACATTATCTTTAATATGAACACAGCATGTGTTGGGAGTTTGGGATCCCTTTAAAAAAGGTTTAAATGAGTAAGTTACTAAAAATCAAATAGTTTGATTAAATGATTACATAAATTTTAACAAAATTAAAACAATATGAACTTGTTTACAATTATAGTTGATTAAATTTTTTTTTGTTTTTTTGAAATTCAAGCTTGTCAGAAAGAGCAAGTCTAACTACATTTACAGAACATTTTTGTCAAGAAAAGAAAGAGCATCTTTAGAAGCCCAAATATTACAACATTACTTTATACAAAAAGGAATAAGAGATTTGTAGAAGTAGAGAACGAAATCGGAAGTAAAGAAATAGCAAGCACAATAAAAAGAAGCAACCACAGCAGATGCTTACTTTGCAATGGATGGTATATATGGCTTACATATGTGGTCAGCAGTAAATAATAATCTGAAAAAAAATCTGTGTCTGGATCACAATCAGCAGATGAGTTTAAGTGAGAAATAACTTTAGCAACAGAAGACAGTGTCTAACAGAAGTCTAATAAAGAATGAACCTGTTACTCTGAAATGTTAGAAAGTGTGGTCATTAGATACAAGAGGGAATTAGAGGAAAAGTTATTTGCAAATAGTTCAGCATTATCCTCGGGAGAGCTAATAAGATCAGACCCATTTATTAAAGGTAGAATGTTGTAAAAATTATGCTTATAAAAATTGATAAATAAAGTCATTTATAAAATGTAGGTATAATCAAAGCTATTAAAAAAAGAAACAATCCAATTTTAATTGAAGTATGATACAAAAAATAAAATGTATATATTTAAGGTTCTTATTAAACTTTTACTACTATCAAATTTTAAAGAGAAAATTTATACAAACCTGTTTTATTTATAAATTTGAAAAAATAAAATAACAGCTACCTTTATCTCCCCAATCAGGATTCCATGAATTAGCTACAAGCCTTGAATGAAAAAAATAACAAAAACAAATCATATTTTTGAGGTTAATCAAAATTTGAAAAAAGAAAAAAATTAAAAACACTATATTTTCTTTTTTAAAAATATTTTATACAAAAGACCAATTATAAAGCCAATCTTTGGAATACTTATATAAATGTTTTTATCTATGATAATCAACCTTGTTTGTAAAGTGGCTTTATCCAGCAACTGTATTTTGAACATAATAATCACTTCTATGCCTGTATTACAAAATCTCTAATCATGGCATATATTTATTTGTATAAAGACAGCCAGAATAGCAATACAGTTTTTTTACAGACAGTTCTGTTGGGTGTTTTTAGCCATTTTCTAATAATATTTTTTTTCAAATTACTTGAAATGATAAAAGTTTATTATAAAACAAAACAATTCTTGAATTTTTTTAATTTATTTACTTGATATCACACCACTATTGAAACTATTTTATAGTAATAATAATTTAATAAATTATATTTAATAAATAACAATTATTTATTTACTTAAGTAAATATCACATCACTATTGAAACTATTATTCATGAAGCTTAATTATTTAAAACTATTTTCAGACTAGAACTTTTTGAAAGCTTTTTTTTCATAAAATGTTTAATAAATATCAACATTTTGCTTAGTATTAGAAATTGAAACTTTCTTGATGAAGAAAAAAATCTTGATGACCAATAGATGCAGAGGAAAAATAGGATAATACTAATATGTAAATATTTATTTTTTATTAAATGTAAAAAACTAATGACAACATTGCATTCATAAATCAACAGATAAAGCTCACCAGTAAGGAACATTGTTTTCAACTCCCCAACCAAGAATTTTAATTGCATGACCACCTAGTGCATTTCCTGTTGTGTATTTGTAAACACCTGTAGATTGTAATTTTAAAAATTATTTTTGCAATTACAAACACACATAAATCATAATCATAAATAAATGATAATGTATACTGCCAAGCCAAGGCTGATAATTTCATAAAAAATAAAAAATCAATACTTAATAACAACTGTAACAACAAAAACTCCTGTGTCTTTATTCCTTTTACCACTGTTTCGTTGTTTAAACCAAAAAATACACCTAAACTTAGTGCAAAAGTAAACTTCCTTGTATCTTGGCAGGACAGTATATTTATTATGAGGGACTCAATGTTATTTCTTCATCACTCCTTTTCTTATTATTATCATCATTGAAGTTGAAGTCAAATAATGTGTAAAATAAATTTGCATAAATAAAAATTACCAGATTTGTAGTTTGGAAAGTCTGAATAAACAGTGAATGCAGCTTCTACTGGTCCATTTAAGTAAATCTCATTCTTGATTTGTTCTTCATCATTTGCTATACTGTAATGGGAAGATACTTTGTGCTTATCGTCAGAGTAAGAAACATTGTAACCTAGTAATAAATTTAAAATTATGGTTTATTAGTCAAATTATATATTTTTTAAATATATTTTTTTATTTTTAACTACTAAACTATATGCAGTCCTTAGAATAAGATTCAGCATTTAGCAACGCAGACCTATCTGCTGACCTAAAAATGTTGGAGATCCACGATATTTGGTGACTTTGTTTATTATGTTAAATTTATTTTATTTTTTATGTATACAAAGCTTTTGTGTTAAAAATTTGATGCTAACCTGTTGCTGACCAAAAATAGTCTGTAATAAACTGCAAAAAATAAGGTCTGGAATAAATTGCCAACCTTATTTTTTCTAACTCTGAGGGAATATGAACATTTAAAGTAGTTTTCATCTAATTTTCCCTTTATCAATAATTATAATACTTATAATATAATTATAATATATAAACAAAAAACTTTTGTTGAAAATGTTATTGAATATGGCTAGGCAGGTGGTTTATTGTTTTAGGGTATAATAGCAACAAAAAATATATACATATATATATTAACCATAAAATAAATTATAAAAAAAGCTAAAAATTACATAATACTTTAAATACATATATCGTAAACTAATAACATTTATAAATATTGAGCAAAACAATTTTTGGTATATGGCAACATTGCACTGAAGTGGATCACAGAAGAAATAAACTTCTTCTTTTTAATAGAGTATATGTGCAGTTGGACCGCGTCTAACTCCACGCCTCCACTACTCATACCAGAAACAGAAGTATCAAAATCACTTTCATTACTACTATATAATCTAAAACAAGAGGAATATGAAGTTTTTTTCATGAAGCCATTTCATAAAATCTTACTCTTGCCCAATAAAAGGGTGAGGTAGCTAGTCCTTATAAATGTGAGAATCTGAAATAATTTTTCTAATAAACAGGGGGTGGGGAGGGTAAAGGAGTTTTAATAAATGAGAGGGCTGGAATTTTAAAAAAAGTGAACAACAAACTTTTTTTAACGTTTAGTTTCAGCAAATAAAGTAAACATTAACTAAAAGTAATCAATGTTATAGAAACTTTAAAATTTCATAAAACTTAACTCAAACTTCAAAAGAAATTTCTTTTGTGAATTTTTATAAACAAAAATACTTCTCCAACCTTGGACAAAAAATAGAGATTTTGGATCATTTAACACATTTTATTTTACAATGGTGGGACTTATGTTTTAATGTAATGAATTAGTTTGCAGTTAACCTTATTGAGAGGAAAAAAAAAACTTTAGCTGATCAACTTTAATTTTATTTTTTATTAATAATATTATAATTATTCTATTTTATGTAATGGTTAATTTTATGTAACATAAGTTTATCTTATGTAATGGTTAATTTTATGTAACATAAGTTTATTTTATGTAATGGTTAATTTTATGTAACATAAATTTATTTTATGTAATGGTTAATTTTATGTAACATAAGTTAATTTTATGTAATGGTTAATTTTATGTAACGTAAGTTTATTTTATTACAATATCTGACAAACCATTTCTAATATATTGTGTTTGGACTTAAAAATGAATTTCATATAGGCTTTTTAATTAAACCTTTTATTTCAGAAATTCCTTATTCCAATATTCATTAAAAGATAAAAAAAATAGGTACCTTCTCTGCAAGATTTTTTACATTTCGGAGTAGGTTCTGATCCTTCACATGGTTTTTTTGAACCGCTAGTATGATGCTCACATGAGGGTATTTCATAAGGTTGACAACCTTCACTAGAGTTATATTGACCTCCAGTGACAGCTCCAGCATATTTGAAAAAATTCCATGCAGGTCCAAGTCTCCCTCCATTACAGCCAAAACCACACCAAAAACCACAGCAAGTCAGTAAATCCTCAGCTGAAATGTGTGGGTTTTTAGCACCATTGGATTGAATGCAAATTCGATCAGTAAAGGCTTCTACGGCTCCAAATGCCTTTAAAGTAATTTATAATTCTTGAAGGATTAATTCAAAAATCTTTATTTTATAAATATTTACATAAAAAATAACTAGAAAAAAAAAATACAAACGTATTTAATGACTTAATTTTTACTTGTCAGTATCAAATTAGTTATTTGATAGTATCAAATTAGCAACTTGTTAGATTTCAAACCTAACAAGTATTCATTTATAACAAATGCAATTAAATATTTATTGTTAAAAACTGCTTGTTACAGCTTCTATGCTTTTTTTTTTGTTATTAGGTAGAAAAATTTAAATCATTTAACTAGGGCTTAAAATAGTGAACATTAGCATATTAGTGTAAGTTTTTGTAAGTTGAACTATTTATCATAAACAAATATAATATTGTACCACCTAGACATAACTTATAAAAAGAGAAATTATTCAAGGTAAAAACAATTATATTTAATTGTATTTCATAATTTAAGGGGAACTGTTCTAGAAAAGTTAAAATATTCAAATTAAAAAAATGGTAACAAATTGGAAATTAAAAAAACATGCTAATGGTACAGTTAAGGAAACTAGATCGTTAATTGTACTATTATAATTTAATATTGCACAACTTTTAAATTGCATTACCAAACAATTGAGACAGTGTTATAACGTGGAATTTCTAATTGGCTTTAAATTCCCAAAGGTTCAAAAGACTATAGAAAAAATAAAAACTTTACGAGTCTCAGATTCAAGGTGTTACACACACTAGATACGTAAAAAACATAATAGTACGCACGACGTATAAACTATGTTAGTACAAACAACGAAGAAATGAAGTAAATTTACCAATTTCTATTTTAATGTAAAAAAAAGCGTTATCATTAACAAGCAAGATCATTCATTCAAAAGTTAAAAAATTCGAACTTTTGACATCAGTCTCTAGTTTAGATTTTTGAATTTGTTTAATAAATAAGAAATTATTTTGCTTCCGTTGCTCAATTATTGAATAATTAAAAATAAGATTTCTGGGATCGAAATATAGACAAAAAACTCAAAAGTGTATAATAACAGCAGGCCTTGTTTTAAAGCATAAATTGGTGCATTATTTACATACGCCCTAAGCCATTTAACATAAGCCATTAAGCCATTTCACGGATTTCTATCATTTTTAAAATTTAAACAAGTCTAAAATAATCATTTAAACGGTAAGATAAAGAAGTAATTAACGCTATAAAAACCACTTAAAAAGTTTGAATGGCGATTATGTAAAAAAGTTTGCATGACAATTACATTTGATATTTACGCTATTTATTACAATATTACAAACTTAAATATTACTCACAATATTACAAACTTAACAAACTTAAGAAAAAATAAAGAAAACTTAAATTTTATTAACCCAACTTTTCCATCAAAAATGTTCCACAAAAGTAAAAAAAAAAATATGTTACAGGCAGGTAATTTCATTCAAATGACCAAGGCCATGTCACCAATCATCTCAGATTTTGCTGATTTTTATACAGTTGAGAGTGCTTAGTAAAATAAGAGCTGGAGCTCTGAAAATTTTGGAATTTTCTGTAGTGCCAATAAATATGCATGTTAAAATTATTTTCAGGGCCCCAAGACATTAGAGGGAACTTTTTTGTAGTGGGATTTTGTGATATATTTTTTACTACCTTCCAGACAAAGTGGAACTCTGAAACTTTCAGCATTTGTGTAGTCCTAATGAACGTATGTTAACCCCTTTCCGCATAGAGTATCTCATATGATACAATTTATAATAAAGGATAGCATGGTTACACAAACTATGATTTCGACAATATATTTTAATGGTATTTTTTATTAATAATTTATTTTCATGTTTAACCATAAAAATTTTCAATTATCTTGTTACATAGACAATATTTTATTTATTAATTATCAAAATGGAGACTACAGGCAACAGCATTGTTCTAGTAAGTTCTTCACCTATAATATGTTCATAGAGTCTAGAAAACTAAGATTATAAAAATTAGATGGAAATATCCATGTCTCTATTTGTTAAAAAAAGTTAGTTTAGAGTTTTCTCAAACTTGTAATCATATGTTATTTTGTTATATATAATTGTTTTAGATATGATATAGCTTGCGTTAAAAGTTTGTTTATGTAAACATAATTTTATTTGTTATTATGCGTATTTTAAAAACAATTTCTGTGAAACTTATTAAATAAAATTAAGTTATAAATTAAGTTATGTATATTTTAATATGGTACTACAATAATATTAATCTTGATGAAAATATTAGTTTGTTTTGCATTTTTAACAATAACTACTGCTTCATTTTATGAAAAATATTCTACTCGCATGGTCATGCCAACGACATGGGTTTTGAAGTGAGGAGGATGGGGGGGGGGGGGGGAGCACACAATAGTCAATTTTTAACAAGTTTTATATATCTAGAATTTTCTAAATAATAAAAAAAAGGTCCTTTAGAAAAAAAGTGTGTGTGTGGTGGTGGTGGTGGTGGTGGTGGGATGTATGAATCAAGCAGTGAATCTGAAGAAGAGAGAGGTAGGGAATCCGAACATAGTGACACTGAATCTGTTATGCCTACTAATTCTTTTATGAAGAAAGAGGACCCAAACATCATATCCCTCATATTTGTGTACAAAATGATGCTGTTGGGCATTGGCCAATTGTAGGTAGTATTCGTTCTTGGTGTAAACTTCATGGCTGCTTGGCATTAACATAGATAATATGTGAAAAATTAATGTTGGACTTTGTCTGAACAAAGAAAAGAATTGTTTTTAAATGTTTCATGTCTAACTATTCATTGCTCATAATGTTTTGTATATTATATATAATTAATTTATTAATTATAATTAATTATAATTAATTATATAATTGCGCATAATGTTTTGTTTATATAGTTATTTTATTGAAATTAAACTCTCCTGCCGAGTTTTGTCTTATAATAATATGATAATGTTGTACTATTTATGCATGCTGTGTCATATATGATACAATTTTAAAAATCATGAATCAGAGGGTACATGGCCTGGGGCACTGGAGCCATACCCTACTTATTTTCTCAAAAAAAAAATTTTTTTCTTTTTTTTGCATTTATAATAAATTAAAGATGATATTGTTTTCAAAAATTATTTTGGTTTGTACTTGTTCTGTTTCATTTAACTATTTAAAAAATAAAATACAAAAAATATAAAGTCTCAAGATTGTGTTAAGAATTGCTTAGATGATTCAACAGTCAAAGTATACATACATCCAGTTGTTGTTACAGGTGAATCAATGGTACAAATTAAGTTGGTAATTGGAACCCAACACTCATCTGCTCTTGATAATCAGAAAAGTTTGTTAAAAGGTTAGAGTGCATAAAATAAATATTACCATAACATCTTGCTTATACCAATCCAATCAAACATATCATATTTACACAAAAAAAATTCACAAAATTTCAATGCATTAATGTTAATTTTCATTGGGTTGATGTTATTTTGCTGATTAGGTTAGATACTTTAAATATCATAAAAGAAAACATCCCATATTAAAATATTAACTTGTTTGTTATTCTAAGTTAAAATGATGATAGCTCCTAATTCCAGGAATTGTTCTACTTAGCTAAAAATGTTTTTTCAAAATGTTGTGCAATTCTGTCAGTCTTTCTTTCTCAAATTTGAAAAAAGCAAACACTTAAATATTTTTTGCACAGCAGTCAAGCATTTTATTACATTCAATACCTAGAGCTTTATAAACTTGCATTTGCAGTTAATCATTTTACAGTGTCACCAATACCACCACATGGTGACTTACCATGACTTGTAGCAAAAATGTCCACTCTGCATCAATATCAAAACCATATTTATGGAGACAGATATTGTAAAAGTTTTTATGGTTTTTATACTGTGCAACACGACCATAAATAAAAAATCTTTGAATTATTTGATTGATTTACTTTTAAATAATTAACTATTTGTATCTTAACACAAAACCAATGTCATGTTCATTATCTTCTGACATGAAGCAAAACAATTTTCCTTTAAGTTGGTCAATTTCGTTTAATAAATAGAAGGCAACAGGGTTTAACATGCATTTACTTAGGCATCAATGGTAACTTTAGATTTCATCTTGAATCACAAAAGTGTAGTTTTCTGCAAAAGACGATAAGCAATCTTTTGCCAAATTTCCTTTTGTTGCCTTAAGTATCTTGCTTGACATTTTGCAATGTAGGAATGAACTGTTAACTTGCTTATTGCCTCTGATAACATTAATTTTTACTCTTCAATTGTTGTTGTTTGATAGATCAATGTTGTTATATCTGTTTTCTTTTTGATTTAAAAAGTTTAAAATTATACAATGTAAAATTCTGTTAAAATCATTATTTTAAATGGATAACTGTTTTTAATCCATATACTTGCAAATTAAAAATCTTATAAACACATGTACTTTCTTAAAACAATTTAAGAAAGATCATAAAATACAGAATGATCAAAAGCTGAACAGAACAAATATAAACAAAAAATTTTTTTGAAGACAACATAAAAATTATCTTTACTTTATTGAAAATGCAAAACAACTTTAACATACATGTTCATTGGCACTACAGAAATGTCAAATATCTTTAAAGTTATGTGACTTGAAACCTTTAAATAAATGTTGCAATTCTAAGTGAACAAGAGGGGTCTGGCCAGTATCTGTTGAAAGTAAAATGGTCATATTTCATGATCATGATCATGACTAGAGGCTAAAATTTCCAAGGAACTCTTATTTTAATAAGTACTTTCAACTGTTTTAAAGTCAGTAAAATCTGAGAAATAGGGTGATATTTTTTAAAATTTCTGGATCAATTGACATGGAATTATCCAGGCACCTAAAAAAGAAATCATAAAATGAAAATAATAAAAAAAAAACTTTTATAACCTTGCAAGAGGAAGAACATTTATTTAGGCAATTTGTCATAACAAACAATTACAAAAATTATCCAATTTAAAAAAAAATAAATGAAAAACTGTTAGCTAAAAAATAGTAGATGTTAAATTTTATTTTATATTAGTGCCACTTTTGATATATCAAATTTTGTTTGTTTGTTTTGTTATAATGATTTTATAACAAAATGTTTTGTCATTTTATCAAAAAAAAAAAAGAAAAAATTAAATGAAAAAACATTATTTATTACAAACTTTAAATGGCATCTTATAAAGTGTTAATTTTTTTTTAAATTAAAAAAAAACTTCTTTTATGGATATAACTATTGTTATTTTTTTTTGCTTGAATTTAGGCTTGAAACAATATAGCTCTTGCAATGTCTTTGTTTATATTTATAAGTTTTATTTTGCAGAAACTAATAATTTAGAAAAAAAATATTTTATAATAATTACATCAGCTTCATATAAATAACAGATTGTGGGATGTCAAAAAGTAAAAGCAGAAATATCCTTATAATTAAGAAATAATTTTGATTAAAAAAGTTATTCAAATTTAAAAAATACTATTTTGTTTTTTCAGTTTATCAGTTTTTCTTCCTCCTTTTCTATTTTTTACAAAAAATTTTTTTAGGTTTTATTAATTTTTTAAATTAAATAAACAAAAACATTTAATGAATCTAATATGCTCAGGGAGGCTATGTTTTCCAAAAGTTAATAAACCTCCCCTCCTTTGCATTAAGCACCTGAGAGTAAACCATTAAACAAAATAAATTTAACAAGGTCAGAAAAATATTAATAAGCTCTCTAAACATTATGATAAAACAAAACATCAAAAATAATTTTTTTTTAAAAAAAAATATTAAAAATATATATATTAAATATGTATAAATTTTTTTTTAAAAGTTGCAACTAAATAAAATTAGTACATATCTACTAAATTGTTGATGAATAAGTTTTAATCCATAATTTTTAAAAAGGCTAATCTTTCTAATATGAAAAATTTGTTCAAAATGGTTTTTAATCTTTTTACTTTTTTTTTAATTTAATTCTTTTTATTTTAGTACTTGTATAAAGATTACATTAGAGAATCTTTATATAGACAGAAAAAAAAAAAAAAGTGAAAAAATTGCATATTGCAAAAAAAAAAAAAAAAAAAAAAAAAAAAAAAAAAAAAAAAAAAAAAAAAAAACAGCTAAATTTGTAAAATCAAAATTTAAATTTTACTAAGATATACAAGTGCACAAGCATTGTTAAAATTTTACCATTTAGGAAATAAAATGAAATGATTAATATGCTAGTGCTTATAAATAAATCCATCAAATAACCCAAGTCTTTGCATGACCATTTCTTTTGTAAACTTTTCACACACTTAAAAAAAATACAATATCAATATTTGCTTGTTTCTTTAAAAGCCAATATTGACAAACTTACAATAACAAAAAAAATAAAGTAAAAAAAATGGAAAAACTGCAACATGGCTTTATATTAATTTGCAAGTTTATCAAAATTTTTTTTACCAATAATTTAGGGAATAAATGTTGAAAGACCAGTGTACTAGTATATTACAGGTAATTTTAAAAATACCAAAAAAGTAATAAAGAAATAGCTATGCAGTATAAATTTTATTAGATCATATTTTTTATATAAATTCTTAAAAAGTGTAAACTATGCAAAATCCTATAATTAAGATCTAATTTTAGAACTCTGTAACATAAATTTCAATAATATATAAGAATATCATATAATTTATAACAACTCAAAATATATTAAATTTAACTAACCCAACAACTTCCACAACTTCCTTGATCGCGAATTTCGGTTGTACTTGGGCAAGTGGATCCCCATTTTTCCCTTGTATCATAACTGTCAGGAAGTGTAGCAATTACTGGTATTTGTTTCACTTGAAATGACAAGATAACAATGTAATATATAAAAATCTTTTAATTATAAAAATATACTATATATAAATTATAATTATTATACCTTCTAATATGTTTTCTTTTTCTTCGAGCGTTCCACACAAACCTTTAATATAACTTTCAGTAACTTCTGGCCCAAAATTGACTCCTGCAGTCCAGGTTGTTTTTAAGGAATTAACTATATTAATTTCTTCATTAAAAAGACCTCTATGTTGAGGAAGTGCACCCACTCCAGCAAATAAAAATAGCAATGTTAAAAACTTCATTTTAAACTAAAAAAAAAAATAAACATTTTGATTTTTAGACAGATGCAAAAGGAGTGCTGCTACATTGACTGAGGCTTTAGGCAGCAATCTTTTCCTTCTTTTTCTATACTACAAGGATGAGCAAAATTAGTTAGCGATTGCTAATCATCTATACACTATATATATATATATATATATATATATATATATATATATATATATATATATATATATATATATATATATATATATATATATATATATATATATATATATATATATATATTTATACAAATATTTTGTGAGCCATATTTTATATAATTGTATTTAATATTGTATAATATATGGCATATAATATTTCCAAAAGAATATAATATATTATGCATATATACATGCATTCGTACATACATATATACATATATACACACATCATACATGCATACATACATACATACATACATACATACATACATACATACATACATACATACATACATACATACATACATACATACATACATACATACATACATACATACATACATACCATATATAAATATCTATTTGGTGTTATAGCATTGAAATATATATAAATTTTAAGAATAAACTGTCGAACGGTTCAGTGATGGGGATGTGCTACGTTCTGTTATTATTATTATAATTTATTGGTTTATCACACGCAATTTGAATTTTAAAATACATTGCTAACTTAACTATTCATTATAAATAGAATTCTTTGTCGTAAAAAAATAAAGATTTATTTTCTATACGATAAAGATAAACTATAATAACAATAAAATAACGTTGTATATCCCTATCACTACACCGCTCAACAGTTCAAATGGAAAAGACGAGCTGTGATTTATTTTTTATTTTTATGGAAATATTATGGTCATAAAAATTTCACGTGATTTAAGATAACGTAGTTCTCATATTTCTTATCAAAATTAACGGTTAGTTAAGACTATTTAAAATTTTTGTCACTAATATTTCCACGAAAAACATGGTTTCAAAACATGGATTTTGGAAACCATGTTTTTTATATATGCATATGTAAAAAAAATGTTTTTTTTTAATTAAATTAAATAACCATATTTTTTTATATTATAAATTTTATCAACAATGGTTGTTTAATTTATATGATAAAAATAGCGGCTTCACGGTCATTCACGTCCTAACGTCAAAACAAACTTCAATATGATGTTAGTTTCTTGTTAGTCTCTTGAATTATTTGATGGCTGTAATATTTGCAGAAAAAAAAAGATAAACTACCTTGCATAAGAAATAAGGAAGGAGTGCATAAATTACATTAGAGAAAAAAATAAAGAGAAAAAGCAAGAATCTTTGTAATTTTATAATTTACATACAGTAAATTAAAGTAGCAATTTTATTTAGACTATAACAATCATAACGCTTGAAAGTTATGTTGCTTTAAAGCAAACATAAAGCAAAAACAATATATATACTTTAAGAAAATGCATAATGCTTTTTGCATTTTCTTAAAGTACATTTATAAAGCGAATTTAGGAGGCACTTTTGTAAATGAAAAAAGCTTTTATAATTTTTTTTTTTAGTAACACCAAATGGAAAAGTTTAAAGAGTTTAATAATTTTGGGGCTCCAATGAAATGTTTTTTTTTTTTTTTTTTTGGAGGAGGGGGGAGGGCACTGACCTAGAGTTACAGCACTGAGTCAAATAATATTTATTATCTATTTTTAAATATATTTCTATGACATTATACTTCTATTATATATAATTCTATGATATTATTCTTTAAATTAACCGGTCATATTTCATAGATTATATTTAAACATATAGTTTATATTCAAAATGCGACATAAGTAATTTTGTTTTTATGTGTCAACTTAAATATGACATTAAGTAACTTAAAAAACAAAAAATAACTAATTATACAATTAAATAACAGTTTATACAAAAAACAATTAAAAAGTTATTGTTTAAGTAAAAAAGTAAAAAATATTCATAAAGTACGCTTTCATGCAAAAATTATCTTTGCTAAAAAAATAATATATTGCATATCATACCGCATTTTAATAAGTGTGTAAAGATTTAAAGTAAACATAACATTTAAAGCAAACGTAAATACTGCGGCGTATTTTTAAACAAACGATGGGCGTGGAAAATTTTAACCATTATCTAAATAAGGTAATGATTAAATGTCAATCAACTACAAAACAATTTTAGTTAAATACTAATGGTCATCATACATCAAATTAGTTATATAAAAATTTTATTCTTTTAAATTGAATGTTAAAAATATTTCGTTAACTTTCGTTAATTTAATAGTTCCTCTGAGAATTTTTTGTTTATTTAATTTTCTTAACTGTCATTTAATTTTGTGTCGAAATGCGTTTTCAGGTCATTAAGAAAAAAACTATAATATTCTTTTTTTCAGGATGTAGTAATGAGATCTTTTTCTTAAGTATATATTTATATATATATATATATATATATATATATATATATATTATATATATATATATATATATATATATATATATATATATATATATATGTGTGTGTGTGTGTGTGTGTGTGTGTGTGTGTGTGTGTGTGTGTGTGTGTGTGTGTGTGTGTGTGTGTGTGTGTGTGTGTGTGTGTGTGTGTATGTGTGTGAGTGTGTGAAAATATTTTTAAGAAAAGCACGATATACATTCTAAATTTTCAGAAGATAAAACTACAATATAAAAACTCTGGAAATTACAGAAAAATATTACCAGACAATTGTTAATATTTTTTTGTAATGTCATTTAATTGGTTTGTTAGAAATCTATTTAAATAGAATCGTTACAAACCAATAAAATTTATTATACAAATTATGATACCGTAAATATAATAAATATAATACTAGACAAGTTTATATAACAATGAGCAGTTTGTTTATTTAAAGATGGATTTTCCCATTTAACACGAAGTGCTTCTTTAACTTTCAATATGTTTTTGTTAGGTGCAGTATCCGAAATTTTAAAACAATTATACTTGGTTAGGTTTTTACAATTAACGAATGAAATTAAATGCTTATAAACATTTTGTAAAATTTGAGTAAAATCCTATAAATGGAAGTAAAGTATCTTAAATTAGGATTCCCAATACTATTTTTAACAGATGAATTTAACTTTTCATCAACAAATAATTTAATTTTAGTGTCAATCATTTTTGGCGGATATTGGTTATTTTTTTAAATAATACATTGATTTTTTATTTCCTTATAAAATACAAGTTATGTGGGAATAAAACTAGAAAAGTTCTGTAAAAGACCCCAATATATATTTTTGTGATAAACTGAAGTGGAAAGCAAAACAGACTTATTTATAAGAACATCTAAAAATCCAATTTGATTATCTTGTTCTTATCTAATTGTAAATTTTAACTTTTTATATTGTTTATTAAAATGTTTAAAAAATTCCTGAGCTTCAAACTGGAGAAAGAGCAATTTTTAACCCATTTTTGTTCGTAAAACCCAATAAATTATGTGACATTCAAGCACACAGCAGCATCTATCCTTGCTGCCAAGGACGGATTCATAGAAGGAGGGGGGCGATTGGGGCAATAGTCTTCCCATAAAAAGCTTTGAAAACTTTTTTTTTGTAAGTTTATATATTAAAAACAGCAAGTTGTTTGAAAATGGAAATAATATAGTTAGGCTGTTTAAATAAAATTACAATTTTAATAAAGTTATGTGGTGCAAATTCAAAAGTGTGTGATTGCTTGCTCACAAATCATTAAATCTGAAAATTGTCCCCACTTACTAGATTGTCTGTATCCAAATCAAAAAACATTTAAAATTGCCCCCCTCCCCTCCTTACGCCATAGTCTTGATCCATCCTTGCTTGCTGCTGGTGTAAAACTGAATCAAGCAAACTGAGTGACAATGGAATCTTATAAAGCATTGGACGAAGAAAATATTATCAGTTCAAAGATTCATTCATGAAATTACTAATTTCAGTAACGCTTAAAGTGCACAGAGACTTTTTCCATGTGTCACATTTCATCAGCATTCATGGAAAAAACCTTGGAGTTTTCAGTGAACAGGTAACAGAGGCTTTCCATGCCAATTTCAAGGTGCACTGGGAGGTATACAAGAGACAACCAAGCCACCCTGAGTATGGTCATAGTTTGCTCAAGTATATTTTCGACTACAATTGCAAGCACTTGTAAAGATAGACAAAAAGTCTAGTCAAACTCAATAACCACAAAGCCATTAAGAAGTCATTAAAATACCAAAAAAAGAATATTTGAAAGAAAGAAATTTTTTACATCATATTATCTTCGAGTGAATTTGTTTATGTAATCAGAATCGACACGGGGGGCCAGGAGGCACGTGGATACCCTCCCCCCCCCACTATTTTTTAAGAGTTGATTTTTACAGGGTGTGATTACTTATCCCAAAAAATCTTTTAACGCAAGTATTTTTAATGAAACAATTTTTTTACATTTTTATTTACACAACTTTGATATTATAACGGGATGAAATATTTTGTAGGTAAATTTTATGTACAAAACATATATTTTAAGTATATACTAATTTTCATCGTTACCGTTAAGTGAAGACTAATTTATTTTTTGTTATAAATTTGTTTAGAGCAAAAATTGACAAAAAATTTATGATGCACTGTTATTACACACATTGAACAGTAGATTTACATAATTAAATTATAAAACACTTGTCAAATTTATGTGTAAACAACCACACAAAAGAACGTTTTGATTGATATTTAATCTTTATTTAAATAAATAAAAGTAAAAATAAAATAAATAAAAATAGAACATTGGAACTACAAAATTGGAAATTACAGTGATCTGATTATAGTTTTTTTTTATTTAAAAAAAGAAAAAAATCAAAAAAAAAAAAATTTATATATAACTGACTATACTACTACCGCTATATGTTGCTGTTTACAATATGATGATTTTATTTTTAATCTAAATATTAATTTCTATTATTGTTACTATTGTTGCGGGTGTATAGCCTGTTTTTTTATACTTTTTATATTTTTTTATAATTTTTTATATTTCTTTACGTAGAAAA